TTTCTCACATCATCAGAGACCATCTTGCAGCATACTCCCGGATCTCCCACCCGCCCCGACCGACCCTCCGTCCCGTAGGAATCCGGTCAGTTATTTGTTGATTGTTTCCCCTTTGAATTCCTTGCCTGTGTTTGTAAAGTTAGATGATGTTGGTGTAGGCTTTGAATGTGATGATTGTAGACCTGAAGAAGGGCTTAAAGCCCGAAACGTCGTCTATGCAATAAACGACTGGGACGAGTTTCATTTATCATTCACAAAGGAGACACTAATATTCAATAGGTCAGCTGTCTGCTTTGCTTCAAGTTCAACGAATGAATCCAGAAGATATGTTAGAATGAGAATATGGGATGAAACGATCGTGAAAGGAATCTAACTAAACGCACGGCCGCTTTCGTTCCTCGTACTGCCATACACGCATATACAGTTGTAACATCGCAAGCGGGCAAGGCGACTGTAAAGGGATCGAATGAACCCAGGATCCCTTTGCAGTCGCCCTGCCACCATGCTGAATCCACGGCGTTTTCACCGCTATTTGCTTTCTACCTGAATCGATCACTAACTGACCACCGTTGCTAGGGCAAGACAGGCAAAGGAGGGATCATTCCACCTATCCTGCCCATGCCCCGGCTGACTGCATGTTATAAACTATACAGGGTGTTGAAATGTACGGCCTAAAATATGCTCCTTTTCTAGCCGCACAACCGTTTTTCGAATGACTTTGATGTGATCACAAGTATCTTTAAGAAACGTTTGAAGCTCGCCTTCATCTTCAGAAAAATCAATTCGAAGAGGGATGGCGTCAACATGTTCGCATCCGATCCTGATGGCACCAATTTTTTTATGACGTCCCACACAAAAGCCAAGTGCCTCGAAGAGATACTCCTTGGGAGACAATTTATGAAACGGAGACGGTGCGACCGATGTACGCCACGTCCATATTTAATCAGACCACCATAACCAGGTGTTCTATCCAATCATGAGGTTCTCCACTAACGAAAATTTTTTTTCTAAAGGAACTCATAGCTTGGGCAGGGTGTTTCCCAAGTTTGTGCACTCCTCTGAATTCACTTCGGTAGATTACGATCAACAACTGTGGTGCCATCTGTTCAATCGTGAAAATTTTCAGTTGAGCAGGATAACTCCTTTCGAGCGACACAATTCTTCACTTTGCTGCATCTTGTCAGTCGTTTTGATGTGACGGCCTGGCTCAAGGTATATCATCCTTTTGAAGTACTAAATGAAGGTAGACACATGTAGTTTCATTTCATGTCGAAGTTACCCCTATTATCCACGGATGGTCGATGTTTTGAGCAGTTTCAAGCAGACCTCTCGATTAATGTGCGGCAGTGGATTTTTTCTTCTTGAACATCGTAAGTAACACGATTGCGTCGCAGTAATGAAGCTGTTTCACAACGGAAAGACAACGAAAATGGATACATTATTAGAAATCACATGAAAACAATCAGTTGGCTACAGTTTGCCCGGAAAATGTAAAGTGACATGCACATCCTTCTCAGCCGTTTAGTACAGGACATGGACATCTTCTTGTGGTAGATTCGGCGAGTTCTGAAGTGATAAAGGTGCTCAGATAATATTATAACAAGCTATGGACATACAGGTGAAAGAAACTAGTGGAGTGTGATAACCAAAGGTTTTTCGCTTAGTTTCGGGATTTCGTTCTCTTGCTGTGACGATATCAAAGATTCTCAGAGCACGTATATATCAGGGACCATAGAAAGGACCATAGAAGATCTGGCTCTTATTTACATAAACTGAATTATATGTGGGCGGTAGCCGATCGATCACATCTGTATTGAAATAATGCCCTACTTTTTAGTAACAACGTTTACATCTACGACGCTTATCTGAAGCTTTCCTCTATATAAGGCATAGTGCATGGTGTTCGACACCATCCCACACAACATATTCTTTTCGTCAGCTCTGTTCACCCAATCCTTTGTCTTCTCTTACATGTATCAAAGGATGCATATGTGTTCAGGATGCGGACAATCTTCCTGTCGATTGTAGCATTCGTCTACCTGGTTGATGCCAGATTCCGGTGCAAAAACTTAGAGAAGAAAGATGTTGACTGGTTAGTTTGGTATAAAACTCGTTAGTTCCCGCGAGGTGGACACAAAACTAACCATTCTTTCACAGGTTTGTCGGCGATAAAATTGCCAGCGAAGTGTCGACGAAAGAAAAGGGCGAAGTTTTGTCTACTATGATTCTTCTCTAACAGGATGGGTAATGAGCAGTCAGCCAATAAACAGCACTAAGTCCTGCGATTGGTGCCACTATAAATCAGCTTTACACAAGCAACAATGTAAGAGGCTCGAAGTTTACGACAACATTCTACCCCTCTAACGAATTTTAGAAAACCACATTCAAAATCGCTTATAACGACGACGCTCCCGACAAGAAGGTAGACAGCGGGCGTGGTCACAGCAAAGGTGTTGCTGTTTTCACTATTGACAGCGGATTTTGGCTGGTGCACAGTGTGCCCAATTTCCCTCCACATGGTGAGTAATCTCTAACGATTTTATGTGAATATAGTCCAGTACATAATGTTGCGCGTTGCAAACGATTTGGACTATTTCTCAGGAAAATACGACTATCCGGAAACGGTACGAAATACGCACAATCGTTTATTGTGTCTCTCACTTGATGCTAATGCTCTTGTGGATCTCAGCCACTACATGAGATATTCCCAAGTGACGCCGTTCATAAGTAACCTGCCAAAGAATTTTGAAATAATGTGAGTTTTGGATGTAAAGGAATGATATACCTGGGCTAGAGCTCCCGCTACAGAGCACCCTACCTCGTTGATGTAGTGAACAGGAAATCTCTTGGACGAGCAGACACGAGGTATACTACCGCTCACGACTTCGAAACCCGTGGTCACATGAGAGTTAAGGCATTTGCAAAGCATAAGAAATTCGGACAAGGTATTTGTACTCTTGACAGAGAGCTGCTTGACTCAGTTTCATTTTTCGGGTGATACTAATTCAGATCTATGGCACGACTTCATCGCTCTGTACCTCAAGAACTCCCATGGCAGTTGAGACATGGAGAAACGGAGCAGCCAAGAATGTCGGCACGCAGTGCGATATGGAGAAAACGTAAGGGTTATTGACATAGACTCGTACTCAGACTATCAGTTAGAGGTGCAACTCTGGAGAACCAACTTGCAGGTTTACGACATCGATCGGTGAAGGTGCTGGACAAGAATTCCCCAGTTCAAAGGATCATTCGAAGTGGGGTGTGTCCATGAGTGAGAGCGTACCAGCTGTGTGTGTAGGAGATGTGAACAGACAGGTAACCCTAGCAGTGAATCTCATAGTGCCATGTGGTCATTGGTAGAAGAAACTTGAGTATGAGCTTCTATCACATCAGACATCGCAATTCAAGCGGGGAGGCGGCGCTGTTTGTTTAGAAGATGAGGCGCTGTGGAGGACATTCCATAATTCGGTAAACTCTTACTTGAATTGTGGTGGCGTAGTTGAGACAAAATCCTCGAAAGGTAATGTTTCTACAGAAAACTCTAGATCTGTAGTAGAGATAAAAAGTAGTCCATTCAGGTGACAAGAAACGCAATAAGTCCAAGAGGAACAACAAAACAGCGTAAGCATGCGCACAGTGCTTGAATAAAACTAGTTTTCATATTGTATGAAATGAAGCCTTATAAAGGTACCGTTGTAGAGTGAGTGACATCATTTTGACTGCACTGCAGAGTTTTCCTCCAGTCACCTTTGACGACCGATTGGATCAGCTGTCCCGTTTACAAAAGGGCAATAGCACAGTGGCCAAAATAGATTTTTCTGGTGTCAGGGAGTTTCGTAATTAATTTCTTGGTTTATTCATCAAACTCCTCTCGTAACATCAACGGTGATCAGTGGTAATGATAATGAAAACAAAAAAAGTCATAGTGGGCTCTGTGCCTGTTCATCTGTGCTTCCGTTGGTTCCATTGGTCCTCGTACTGCTCGAGCGCATGGTTGATATTGGGTATAGCAAAATTCTACACTCTCGCACTACCTCAATGTGTTTCCTGACGGTGTGGATGTGAATGATCCCGCTGAACTCTCGTCGAGACTTTGTTTCACATGGCTACATCTCATGTAGGGTTCTGCCAATCCTGTCCCCCCTACTCTCGAGGGAGGGCCTTGGTACTGCTCCCCACCTGAGAGGGCTTGGAGCGATCACCCTCCGCCTCCCTCCCCAACACCTACCCAAAGTTTTCCGGGTGGGAGTAAATAGTCTTTGTCAAACAGGAAAATTTCTTAGATTTCCCCAACA